AAATCAGTAAATGTCATTATAGATCAGCTTTAATAGATGAATGGAAGAAATTTTGATGAGCAGATAACTTTACTTTGTACCTATTTAGCAAAATGTAATCCCCCTAAAAGAGAATTTCATTGTTTCCATTACTAAACTGGCATTACAAAAAAAATTAATTATATTTTGAATATTGACAATACATTTTTATAAAAAAAATCTTATAAATACCTACATAATATCCTTGATTTTGTCTTTTGCCTCACAAAGCCTAAAATGTGTACTATCTCACCTTTTACAGAGAGAGTTTGCTGGTACTTAATGTAGATTCACTATTTATTTGATCAGTGCCATATGATAGACATTTAACTTATTTGTAATCTTCTGTTAACACAAATGGCCCTTCATGAACTACATTGTGCATTTATCATTTCTTATATTTAGTGTAAATATTCTTTCTTGCTACAGATTTCTTAAAGGAGGATTTTGGGTGAAGTGGTAAATGACTATGAATTTACTAGATTTGTTTAGTAATGCTTGTACTCTTTTGCATTATTACTGTTAATGAAAGTGTATGTGTTCCTTCTATCTTACTGTCAGTGTATAGTGGGGTTTTGCCTTTCTAATAGATAGTAAATGAAATCTTAGGATGGTTTTAATTTGTATTTCCCTTACCTTCAGTGGTGTTGAGCATATTTTCATGTCTGTTTGTCATCTTCATAGGTTTACTCTTTTACTGTCTTTTTCTTGTCTTTTCTAGAAATTACACATTTGAGATTTTGTTTTTCAAATCTCTATTTTATATACTAGGGATATTAACCCTTTTCTACATAAATTTCAGACATCCCTTCCCCCCAAGTTTATCGTTTATCTTTTTGCTTTTGGTGTCTTTTTCCATGGTCCATCCTCCCAAGTTTTCTTTATATTTTGCAATGCTAGGATTGAACTTTGATTCTCTCAGAAGGCGGGCACTCTACCACTGAGCTATACCCCACCCCTAAGTTTTCTTTTTTTATATTGTTAAGAAGATCAGTAGATATGTGTTATCTTTTGGTAGTTGGTAGAGCAAGTGTTCTAATTCCCTTAGTATTTTTTATCTATCTGATTTTCTAGAGGGTGCTATGAATTTACTCTATTTATATCAACTTTAATGTTTTGTATATCATARTCTTGTACATGCTGTTTGTTCAGCAAATACATAAGAACAATAATTTTAAGATGTTGTATAGAATATAATTAAGTATATTCATTTTTTAAATCCCTCATTTTATTTATTTATTTTTATGTGGTGCTAAGGATTGAACCCGGGGCCTTGCACATGCTAGACCAGCGCTCTGCCACTGAGCCACAATCCCAGCCCAAATTAAGTATATTCTTTAGTTTAATATTAACTGTAGGAAGTAGGTGGTAGGAGGTAGAGGTGGAGAGATGATACAAAGATTAATAAGACACATTTTGTACAGAAGAGAGAGTTGCAATATAATATTATAAATACTGCAGAATGTCTTGAGGTATAAAGAGTGACCAACTCTTGCTAATAGGGTTAAAATTTGTATACATTATGACATTTAATCTAATCTTGAAAGATTTGAGTGGAAATTTGTTAGGCAGATAAAAGAGATGTCATGGATTTGATTAGAAAATTTTTACATGAAGTAATTCTTTGTGTAGGGGATGRTGATATTATTGGGGATTGAACCCAGTGATACTCTTATCACTGGACAACATTCCTATCCATTTTTATTTTGAGACAGTCTTGCTTAATTGCTGAGGCTGGCCTCAAACTTTTGAGATCCTTTTGCTTCAGAGTCCTAAATTGCTAGGATTATAGGCATGCACCACCATGCCTGGCATAAAATAATTCTTTAGAATATTAAAACTTCATCATTCAAAAAATTTAAATAAGATCTTAGCACTGTTTTTATTTAAAGCCTTTTAGAGATCAATTAATTATATATTAAAAAATTTAAATAAGATCTTAACACTGTTTTATTTAAAGCCTTTTAGAGATCAATTAATTATATATTTTTAATTCTCTTTAAAATTTTTTAAAAAATATTTATTTAGTTGTGGATGAACACACAGCATCTTTATTTATTTTTATGTGGTGCTGAGGATCAAACCCAGTGCCTCACACATGTGAGGCAAGCGCTTGACCACTGAGCTACAGCCCATCCCCTAAAATTTTGTTTTTAAGTTGTAGATACAGTACTGTTATTTTATTTTTATGTGGTGCTGAGGCTCAAACCCAGTGCCTCACATGTGCTAGGCAGGTGCTCTGTATACYACTGAGCTACAACCCCAGCCCAATTAATTAAACATTAACGCTTTTTTTCCCCCCTTCTGGCTATGCTGGGAGTCTAACCCTGGGCCTCACATATGCTACACAGGTGCTTTACCAATGAGCTACATTCCCAGCCCCGTAAATATTAACAATTTAAATGGAATTTAGTTCAACTGTCTCATTTTAGGGATGAGAAGTCAAGTAACCTTTCTGTGTTCACATGTCTTGGGAAAAATATAATTGGTACTTGTTGTTTTAGGTAATTTCCAAAGTATGGAAATTGGTTAAAGTATATGGGGCAACCTTGGGTATATGTTAGAAATGAAATATAAATTTGACAGTTTATACCTTTTGACTGCAGTGTAGTATTATGTTAGGGAGTTAGAAAGGACAGATGAATATGTTTTATATAGCTGCAAAGACATCTTCTAACAGGAATTAAAATTGCTTCAGTTATTTCACTAAGAATGAAACCTGCTTAGAAGTCACATAAAGAGCATAGGAAGAATTGGAGCTTTTTTCTCCTTAGAAGTCTAATGAAATCAGTTCTAAAGGGGTTTTATTTTGTTTCGTTTGGCACTAGGGATTGAACCCTGGATACTTTACTACTGAGCTACATTTCCAGCCCCTTTTATTTTTTATTTTGAGGCAGGGTCTCACTGAATTGATGAATCTGGCCTGAATCTTGAGATTCTTCTGCCTCAGCCTCTTGAACTGTTGGAATTACAAGTGCATTTGACCATGCCTGACAATTCTGAAGTTTTTTAAAATTATTGAAATTAAGAGAATAGCTAACTTTTATTATGCCATAGTACTAGTCTGTGCTTACACTTATTAACTCATTTAATCCTCACAACTATTCTATGGAATAGGTTATTATTTTCATTTTTACAGATTAGGAAAATGAGACTACCCAAATTCACAGCTTATAAATAGTGTTGCTGAGATTCATATTCAGGCTACATCATTCCAGAACCCAGATTCTGAAGTGTCTCAATTAGGATAGCTATTTTAAAAATTGGAGAATCTGATACACAGGAATTGGTAGCAGAACCACCAAGGAATTGACTGGTTATCTCTAGGTCTTCTTAGCTAAAGAGTTAGTTGAGGGCTGGGGATGTGGCTCAGCGGTAGCGTGCTCGCCTGGCATGCGTGCGGCCCGGGTTCGATCCTCAGCACYACATACAAACAAAGATGTTGTGTCCGCCGATAACTAAAAAATAAATATTAAAAAAAAAGAGTTAGTTGATAAAGGCCATATATTAATGTACATCTGGTAAATCAGTTATCTGTGTTGAATTCATCTTTCTTCTACTGCGTATGATTTGGTTAATACAGTCATGTGGCATCTGAAAGGAATAAAAAGTGGGCCAAGTTACATCTTTTGTGTATTATATATATAAAGATCATTAATAGAGTCTTTTTGTTGTTAAAAACACTGTGGGACTGGGGTTGTGGCTCAGTGGTAGAGCACTCGCCTAGTGCGGGTRAGGCACTGGGTTTGATCCTCAGCACCATATAAAAATAAATAAATAAGAATAAAGGCATTATGTCCACAATTAAAAAAATACTTAAACAAACAAACAAAACACACTGTGAGTAAATCTTGGGTTATTATGTATGTATTTTTTTTTGTGTGTGTGTGTGTTGTGTGTGTGTGTGTGTGTGTGTGTGTGTGTACCCCAGGGGATTGAACCCAGGGGCACTTAACCACTGAGCCATAAACCCAACCCTTGTTCTGTTTTATCTTTTTTTTTCTTTTTATTTTTTTGTGTGTGTAGTGCTGGGGATTGTACCCAGGGCCCTGTGCATGTGAGGGAAGTACTCTACCAACTAAGCTATATCCCCAGTCCATCTGCTTTATTTTGAGACAGGGTCTCACTAAGTTGCAGAGGCTGGCTTTGAACTTATACTTCTCCAGCCTCAGCCTCCAAGATGCTGGGATTATAGGTGTGAACCACCATGCCTGGCTATTTTGTTTGCTTTTAATAATCTTTGTATTGTACTATCTCTTCTGCTCGCAGACTATTTCGAATTAGATGAACCTTTTTTCCTTTTTTTAATATTTATTTTTTTAGTTGTATGCACATAATACCTTTATTTTATTTATTTATATGTGGTGCTGAGGATCAAACCCAGGGCCTCACACATGCTAGGCAAGTGCTCTACTGCTGAGCCACAACCCCAGCCCTGAGCCTTTTTTTCTTTATTTTCTTTCTTTCTTCTTTTTTCCTGGTACTGGGAGTTGAACCCAGGGGTGCTTTACCACTGAGTTACATATCCAGTCATTTTTATTTTTTATTTTGAGACAGCATCTCACTAAGTTGTCTAGGCTGGCTTAGAACCTGAGATCCTCCTGCCTTAGCCTCCCCAGTCACTGGCATTATAAGCATGTACTACCACACTATCATGCCCAGTTTAGAATTAGGTAAATTTTGATATAGAAATAAATATTGAAATAGAAAATAAATAGTAATAAATATTGATATAGAAATTCTCCCGAAATATAAAGATGTATCTAAATTTTAAAAGTTCTTTACTGTAGAAATTTTTTTAAGTGCCTCAGGTGATTATGATAATGAGCTAGGCTTAGGAACTACTACAATAGTAGCCCACACTATCATTTCAGTGAAATTCTAGGCCTGACATAATTTTGTGGGTGCTGTCAGTAAATGATCTTAATTATTTTTAGCAGCTTTTAACTTTCCTACTTTTTTTTTTCCTTATTTCTCTACAGTACTTTATGCCAACGTGGCTTCATTCATACAGATGAACCAAGGATTGGGATAGCAGTATAAAATTAGAATAAGACAGCTGACTGCCCAGCAGGATGCCATCAACTAACAGAGCAGGCAGTCTAAAGGACCCCGAAATTGCAGAGCTCTTCTTCAAAGAAGATCCAGAAAAGCTCTTCACAGATCTCAGAGAAATTGGCCATGGAAGCTTTGGAGCAGTCTATTTTGTAAGTGTTCAAGGGTTATGTCAGAGTAAAAATCAAAAATATAAAGAGATCTAGAGTTTGCTCAGTAAAAGGATTCTTAATATGCTCTCACAACATGCTTCTTATACCAGATGTATCTACAAACATCAAGCAGTCAATCAGTTCTGCAGCAAACATCAACTCAATGTCCTCTAATTCAATTTTTGTACCAATGGTATCCACAGTGTCAGATCCTACAAGGTGAGGGTTCAGTCCCATTAGACTGCCCCATCCCCACTTCAGATGCCAGTTGAAATTTCCAGGTTGTGTTTCTGACTGGCCAGCTAGAAATCTCGGTTTAACAACCCCTTTTTAGGGTTTTATTATTTTGCTGGAGTAGTTTACAGTATTAGGGGAATCAGTTTATCATGATTATATAGGATGTTTTAAAGATACAAATACTTCTCTTCACACAGCCAGATAAAGAGATGTAGAATGAAGTCTAGAATGCTAGATAAGTTCTTCTTTACTTTCTTGGAAGCCTCTGAACTCAGTCCTTTTAGGCTTTTTATTATTGTGATTGATTAAATTATTGGTCACTCGTAATTAACTCAACCTTCAGAGTCTTTTCTTTCTCCTGAAGGTTGAGGGTGAGGTTGTGAGTTCCAATCCTGAGTATGTAGTTTGTTTCCTTGGCAACTAGCCCACCATCCTGTGGCTATCTAGAGACTTTCCGCAAACCATCTCTTTTACTCATTTTGCTCCAGCATTCCAAATATTATATGTGCTCAATTTCCTACTATTTATAGGATGGCTTATATATATGTAAAAGATACTATATTGTCCCAATGTCTAATTTATAGAGTGACTTACACTTTTCTTACTTCTCTCCCTCCCTCTTTTCCTCACTCCTCTCGCTTCCTCTCCATGGGGATGGAATCTAGACCTGCGTGAATGCTACACAAGTACTCTAGCACTGAATCACATTTCAGCCCCATGTCTTTTCCATTTTAACTGAACATTTATCATGCACAGTAGCCATAATTTTTGCAGTTTAAGTGTGATAGCAAAACTAGCACAGATTTTTTTCTTCATAATTTCATGAATAGTCATTCTTACTGTAGATTTTATCAACAAAAGCATACAGTTTTTTTTCCCTCCTTATTAAATCAAGAACTTCTCTTAAGTTGCTGTTTTACTTATAGGAAATACTTTATGATTTCTCTTTGACACATCCAAATTGCCAACAGTACTACTCTTGTGCTTAAGGGCTATTAAATCATTAATTGACCCAAGCATTGGATACTGTAGCAGTTACATCAGGTAACAAAAGAAGTTTGTTAAGTCATTAATGGGTGGGTAGCACATGCACCATGGATACTCTGGACAAAGAGATGATTCATTCATGTCCTGGGCAGGATGGAGAAATTACTCAGAACAGCACACAATTTAAAACTTTCAGAGAAAGTCTCTCTTTTGGCTTTGAGGAAGAGAGAGAGGATCATAAAAGAAGATCAGAGAGATCTTGGTTTTCAGTCTACATTTTAGTTCAGAGTACTGATCATATCAAATGGCCATATTTTGTGATACTGTTTTCTCAACAAGTTCCTGTTTTCAATTTTGAATGTATACTGAGGAATGGAATCCTAGGTTCTCTGTTTATCTTAGAGGAATTGTCAAACTGCACCATAGTAGTTGTACTACCAGCAGATTAAAAGTGTTCCAGTATCTCTACATCTGTGACAATGTTATAGTTTCAATTATGTTATTCTGATTATAGCCATCATACTAGGTGTGAAGATCTCATTGAGGTTTTGATTTGCATTTCTTTAATGACTAGTGATATTGAAGGTCTTTTCATGTGCCATTTGTATTTCTTCTTTKCCCATTTGTGAAATTGTTGTTTTTTTCCTTTTTCATTAAGGTGTAGAAGTTCTTTATACATATTCAGGGTATTAAATCTTTTTGGTTTTTTTTGGTGCAGTGCTTAACCCAAGGTTTCTAGCCTGCTGGGCAAGTGTTGTACCACTGAGTTATACTCCTAGCTCAGGATATTAAATCTTTATCATGATTTGCAAACATTTTCTCCCATTCTGTAGTTTATCTTTTCCTTTTCTTGATAATTTTTTTTTAATATTGTTTTTAATTGTTGTTAGACCTTTATTTACTGATATGTGGTGCCGAGAATCGAACCTGGTGCCTCACACATGCTAGGCAAGAGCTTTACCTCTGAGCCACAACCCCAACCCTGATAAAATATTTTGATACATAGAAGTTTGCATGTCTTGGTCTTCTTTTCAAATGAGTTCACCATATTATCTAGGTTTATTTCTGAACTCTTGATTCTATTACATTTTTTTGTATGCCTACAATATTTTGATAGCCTAGAATATGCAAAATAGATGCACCACACTATTTTGTTTATTGTACCTTCGTAGTAAGTTTGATTTCAAGAAGTTTTTCTCTCCCAACTTTTTTATTCTTTATAAGGATTATTTTAGGGCCCATTAAAATTCAAATATTAAGTCTTCTAAAATCCATGAACACAGGATGACTTTCTAAATATATGTTTAGATCTTTAATTTTTTACAGCTGTATTTCAAAGGGTTTGTTTTTGTTTTGTGGTGCTAGGAATTCAAACCAGGACCTTATACATGCTAGACAAGTACTCTACCAATGAACTATCTCTCCACTCCCTATTTTTGAGTTTTAAATGTACAAATGTTTCACTTCCGTTAAATTTATTTCTAAATGGAATTACTTTCTAAATTTTCTCTTTGAATTTTTTATTGCTGCTGTATATAAACAAAGCTGATTTGTGTATTAATCTTGTATCTGACAAGTTAGCTGAATTTATTTGCTTTGATAGCTTTCTTTTGAATTCTTTGGAATTTCTATATTTAGGAGCACATTGTCTGCAAATGGAGCTGTTTTACTTATTCCTTTGAAACTTGGATGGCTTTGATTTATTTTTCCTGTCTTAGTTGCTCAGATTTTAACAGCTGTACACATTGCCTTATTTTCCTTTACTTCTTTTACCCTCAAATTGACAAAAAAAAAAAAAAAGGAATATAATGATGTTCATTACAGCATTATATTTAATAGCAAAAAAAAAGAAAGAATCTAAATATCTAATCATATGAAATGATAAGGCAAATTATGATAAATCAAATATATAATGAAATCTGGAGAGCAACTAACTATTATACATAAATTAATATAAAAAATAAGAAATTCCACAAAATAAAACAAACAATGTGTTTGTTTTAGAAAACAAATGGTGAATGACAGCATATATATATAAACTTATGTGTAAAAGATGTAGGGGCTGAGGGTGGCTCAGTTGCAGAGTGCTTCCCTGGCACATCTGAGACACTGAGTTTGATCGTCAGCACTCCACAAAAATAAATGAAATATAGGTATTACGTCCATCTACAACTAAAATATTAATATATATATGTATGTAGGATATAGAGTGATTCTTTCATCAGGGAAGCCATTTGATTCTAGACTTTTCTTTCTAGGGAGGTTTTTGTTTTTGTACTGGGGATTAAACCCAGGGGTGTTTGACCACTAAGCTACATCTCTAGCCTGTCTTTTTATTTCTTATTTTTTATTTTGAGACAGGGACTCATTAACAGGACTGGATAAGGTAGGCCTTACTAAATGACTGAGAGTAACTTTGAACTTGGCAATTCTCCTGCCTCAGCCTCTGGAGCCACTGGAATTACAGGTGTATGTCATCATGCCCAGCCTCTTGGGAGGTTTTTGATTACAGATTCAATCTCTCTCTCCCTCCCCCCCTCTTTTAATAGACACAATACCTTTATTTTTTATTTTTTTTAATGTGGTGCTGAGGATCAAACCCAGTGCCTCACACTGTTATTAGATCTATTGAGATATTTAAAAATTTTCTTGAGTTAGGTAATTTTTGGGTTTCTAGGAATTTATTTTTATCTGATTCATGGGCAATGGTGTTCTCATATAATCCTTTTTTGGCTTTTATGAATAAAAAAATTGCTGTGAACATTCTTATCCCAGTCTCTTTGTAGACTTACAATTCCATTTTTCTGCATAAATACTGATACTGGAATTGTTGGGTCATAGGGCAGATATAAGTTTAGTTTTGTAACAAATTTCCATACTTTTTCATCAAGACAGAAATTTTATACTCCTGGCAGCAGTGCACAAGAATTCTGTTTGCTTTATGTCCTCTCCAACCTTTGATGTTGACAGACATTTGAATTTCAGCCATTATGATGGATGTGTAGTACTCTTTTCTTTTAAGCATTTTTTAAATTTATTTTTTAGCTGTAGTTGGACACAATACCTTTATTTATTTATTTATCTATCTATCTGTCTGTCTGTCTATCTATCTATCTTATCTATCTGTGGTGATCAAACTCAGGGCCTCGCACGTGCTAGCGAGCACTCTACCACTGAGCCAGGACCCCAGTCCAGGATGTGTAGTACTCTTTTATATGGTTTTTATTTTGTTATGAGAGGGTGTCTCACTTTGTTGCCCAGGCTGGTCTTGAACTCATGGGCTCAAGCCATCTTCCCCACTCAGCCTCTCAAATAACTGGGATGACAGACCTACAACACTGTGCCCAGCTCAGTATGGTTTTAATATCTTTCCTTGATTGGTTATGTTGAGTGCCATTTCATGGGGTTTAATGGCTATTTACATATCTTTGGCAGTGTCTGTTAAAATATTTTGTCCTTTAAAAAAAAAAAGGCCCCATTTTTCTTTTTTGATTTGTAGGAGGAGTTCTTTTTATGTCCTAGCATTTGTCAGTACTCTTTTGTTTTCTRTTGGTTAGGGTCCCACTGTGTGTCCCAGACTGGTCTTGATCTTGTGGGCTCAAGTGATTCTGCCGCATCAGCCTCTTGGGTAGCTGGGATTACAGGCATGTATCTTCATGTCAGGATACTATATGTTTTGCAAATGTTTACTATATTCAGTTAGGAGTTATGCTTAGTATATACCAGGAGGACAAATATGGTTGATTAACTTCTTCAGAACTTGGGAATCCTTCCATAATGTGTTGGGCTTTTTGTTCTTTTTGTTCTGGTTTGTCTGTTCTGTCAGTAACCCAAAGGTGGTATGTTTCTTTTTTTTTAATATTTATTTTTTAATTGTAGTTGTCAATACCTTTATTTTATTTATTTTTATGTGGTGCTGAGGATCGAACCCTGGGCCTCACATGAACTAGGCAAGCACTGAGCCACAACCATAGCCCCCCAAAGGTGATATATTTTTAAACCGTGTATCAGAAGCTGGTTTAGGAGAGATTGGCATTTAAGCATAATAGGAGATCCTGAATTAGAAACAAAATTGCTTTAAAGGACATTACTAAGACAGTTGTTAAATTTTTTAAAAAATATTTTTTAGTTTTCAAGATTTTTTTTTATAGTATTTATTTTTATGTGGTGTTGAGGGTTGAACCAGGGCCTCGCACATGCCAGGCAACAAACTCTACTACTAAGCTACAATCCCAGCCCAATTTGTTGAAATTTTAATATGAACTATGTACATTCAACTATATGTATGGATTATAGGATTATATCAGTGTTGAATTTCTTTACATACACACACACACACACATACTCTCTTTTTTTTTAATTTTTTTTTTTTAAGACAGAGAGAGAGAGAGGAGAGGAGAGAGAGAGAGACAGAATTTTTTAATATTTATTTTTTAGTTTTCGGCGGACACAACATCTTTGTTTGTATGTGGTGCTGAGGATCGAACCCGGGCCACACGCATGCCAGGCGAGCGCGCTACTGCTTGAGCCACATCCCCAGCCCACATACTCTCTTGTAGATGGATGCAATACCTATATTTATTTATTTTTATGTGGTGCTGAGGATCGAACCCAGTGCTTCACACATGCTAGGCAGGCACTGTACCACTAAGCTACAATCCCTGGCCAGTGCCACATTTCTTAATTTGATCATTGTACTGTGGTTATACAAGAGAATGTTCTTGTTCTCAGGATATATATGAAGAAGTGTTTTTGTCTAATATCACATGACTCTTCAATAATAAAATAGTAATATGTATGTTTAGATAGAAAGTTCTAGAGTAAATGTGGCAAAATGTTTRCTATGTATTTATTTATATAAGGGGCTGACAGTAGCTCACAGGCAAGATCCAACCTGTGACCCGCTTTTGCTCAGCTCCCAAACTAAGAATGATTTATACATTAAAAAAAAAAAAAAAARGG